GGATCTCAAAAGTATTCTGTTGAAAATTGCGCAAATTATTAAAAATAATAATAATTGACTTTATTCATCATACGAGATAAAGAATAAATTGATGGATGTAGCCGTTACTACGTGGTAGGAAATCATAATGAAGAAAAAATAAATGAAACTTTCTATGTTTTTTACCACTTTTATCTGTAACTAACGTTATGTCCATATAGGACGAAACTGCAGGAACGTTAGTTTCATTTCTTTATTGTACTTTATTGTATAAGTTTGAAAATGTTCGTATAGGACGACAGTAACGTTAGTTACGAATAGAACTGATAAAAAACAGAAAGTTTCATTTCTTTATTCTTCAGATAAAGAATATCTCATTTGTATTCATATTAACTGAAAAATGGGCAGTGTCAGATAAAGCTGTTTTTCAACTCAATTCTGTCATGCAGGTTTCTCTCAATACAGGGTGGTCCACTAAAAAATAATGAGAAATGTTTTTTGTCGAAATAAACAAATAATATTCACTGCAAGCATCAAGATGACCAGGACAGACAGACACCAATCACTCAACGGTAAGAAAGTTAGATGGTTTGAGAGAAGTGATAATTGGAATAATGAGTTCATTTTTTAAAGCATTTCAACACTCTGATAAAATCAATATTTCTATTGAGAAAATTCATATGGATATAGATTCGACAACTTTCTAGTTCAGTCTGAGTCATCAGTAAGTTTTATTCAAATTTCTTGATGAAAAAAGTGTAAATATTTTCTCAATACCCACCTAAACGTTTCAAAAAGATATCCTTCATCAAAAATCAATAAGCCAATATAAAATCGGTTTTTTTTTCAACAGCAGCAGCCGGCACTGGTCAACAATAGAGGTCCGATCCTGCACCACGACAACGCTTGTCCGCACGTTTCACAAAACACCGCACCGTCCGAAAATTGAACTAATTGAGCGTCGTAGTTCTGCCTCAGCCACCATATCCCCCAGACCTCTCTCCAACCGATTACCATCTTTTCAAACACTTCAACAGCTTTCTCGCCGCCAGAACCTTCGCTAATCAGGACCAAGCAAAAACGGCCTTCGTCGACTTCATAGAATTTCGAGCACACAATTTTTATGCTGAAGGGATTCAAATGGAGCTTATTTCGAATAAATTGAATAATTATTCATCGATATATTACATTAAAATAATTAATTGAGAAAAATTTTTTAAAACAACCAAATAATATAGACGAAGACACCTGTAATGAAAATATTCTGTAATTTCAATGTTTATTGCCCTGATTCTGATATTCACTTCAATGAATTCCATATCTTATTGAATATTGAGCTTATCAACAACTGACTCAAGTGTTTTTTTTTAATTTGTTCGGTATTTTTTTACATCACTGTCAGTTTACTGTTGAATATTGTTTCTTTTTATTTTTGTATTGTCCCGTGAATAAAGTGATGTGTTTGTTGGGCAATTTGAATACATTTTTATTTTTATTTCATTTTTATTATCAACATCCAGTGCAATACATTAGGAGCTAAGAAGTCTTGACTTCTTTCGAAGAAAATCAAATTTTTCATTTTACTTTCATTGTTTCGATTCTTGATTAATTTTTTCTTCACGATTCAATAATCCGTTTCGATTTAGAATCTTTTTCAATTCAAGGATACCCTTGAATCTGGACAACTCTAAAATATATGTATAGCTGATTAGGCTTTCAAAGAATACATTTTTGGGGGTAACTCTGGAGTCTAGAGAGTTGTCAATGTAGTCCCAAAAAGACATAACTTTTTTCCTCCTTCTACATACTATAGAAACTGTTTCAGGCATTTTTGTATGTCTTTTATTGTTCTAACTTACCTACCTACTGTTAGTTAGTTAGTCAAATTGTCGTCCAGTATACATGAAACTGTGCGATATGAGCCAAGTGAAATTAAGTTTCTTTCATAAGCTGAAATAAAGTACGATCCAAGAAAAATCAAAAACTCGCTACTATCAACATCATTAATAGAAATGAGTGAAAATAAAAGAAATCGTCCAGAAAAATTGTGTGGTGATAATTCCCAATATCTCAGTATCGACTGAGATTGCTACCAAAGAATGGGAACAACTAATTTACGGATTATTGAATTGCGATGGAATTCGGGGAATTTCATTAGCACATTTCCTTTTATTCGGAAAGATTTTTTCCTTTTCTTTCCATCCGCCCATTTATTTTATTTTAACAAACATCTATCTTTCCTCCGGTCTTGACCTGCAAAAACTTCGTCGAAAAGAAACGAGAAACATCTTTCCACGTCACTCTAGCAATATTGCCGGTTTTTATAGTCGATGGATGATGTGGTTGTGGATTTGCCCTTTTCGGTTCTTAAGAATTCACATATTTTATTGTAATGGCCATGTGATATTTTCTACTCATTTAATAAGTTTCTGAAAAAACTATGTTACGATAAATAACAAATGTATTTATGTCAACTGTTTCTATCAGCATGTCCAGAATATGCGGTATCGGCCTATATCCATCGACATAACGCGGCCCTAAGAGTGCTATATTACCATCTACGGCACTCTTACTGTATTGACGACACACTGGTGTTGCCCTACGCTCCGGGGGATATTGAATCCGTTGTGGGGAACGAGAAGTGCCGAATTTATTGGAACTATTCGTTCCCCACCCTCAGGCTCACACAAGCTAATAAGCCTGATGTAGTCCTTCTCGGCCACCAGAGCAAGACGATATTTGTCGTGGAGTTTTCAGCTCCTGGCGAGACGAATATCGTCCATAAAATGAGAAAAAACGGATAAATTATCGAGATTTTCTCTTCGAACTCCGCAGACTGTATCAAGACCCCTCTGTCAACCATTCCTGGCAAGGAAATCAGAAGCTTCAATACTTTACAGGCCAATGTGGCCAGGAGTAGAGACCAGATACAATTTCTTGAGTCTTTCCATTCTCCAAAAGTATTTTTAATGAATTATATGATATAAGTATTTAAACTAAACGGTTACCTACATAACCTATTCATTCATTTATTTATTTATATTCAAACATACCTCAGGGGTTTGTAGGCCTGAGTTAATTTCTGATCGGAAATAAACTCAGAATGTATGAACCACGGCCTTCAAACTCAGAAAATAACGAAAGCATTAACCATTTTGTCATACCTCAGAGGTATGACAAGGATAAGTCATTTACAATACGATAGGTATTGTACAAGTTCTTCAAATCACAATTAGTATCTATTGATCGTACTGGTCTCCTCGCTAATATTTCTGAGGACTTGATTTTATAATTGATAATTTCAAATAAAAAGAAAAGCATTGACGTGATATGCCTGTGAAATTGCAAACTCATTTCTCAAGTAGGTAAGTTGTTCTTATAGTCAGCTCTTCCATGGGATTTCTTGAAGTTAAGGAATTTATTTTGAATGTTCTCAATTTTCTGCAGTGAAAATTGACCCTTCCCATACCGTTGTTTGATAGAAACAAATATTTTGAAATCGATTTTTTTGCTTTATTACAAAGTTCAATACGCAGTTTGCTAAACGCACAATACCCAATAAAAGATCACCTATTTATTTAAAATTCAATTAGTTGTTTTGAACGAGTCATTGACATAATGCTACATTTCGTGATGTTGAAGCTTGATTCATGAACATAGTGTATATTCTTTTGTAATTTCCCACATTCTCTCACATTATGAACTCTTCTAAATATTTTAGGATTATTTGCAAAAAGCAGACAACCTGAATGTGTCGATATTGATAATTCAGAATTTGATGGACTGCATCGGTGAAAAAATGTGAGTCTACAAAATTTTAATCTCACCTAAATAAAGTTAGTCCCATATTTTTGATGGTATATACTATTTTGCCAGCAGGATTCCCAGTAAACCGCACATTATTGGCGATTCAACGTTTGCCGCCAATAGACTTTTCAGATCGTTGCTGGTATGCCTTCACTAACTCGTCTTGTTCGTGTTCCACCATCGACTGAAAACCAACATTGCCGTGTTCTTCGCAGTGGTTTGTATAGAGATGTAGAGGTGGACATTCGTTCCCTTTCGTATTGTGCATACTAGTTGTATGAGCCGGCTGGCTTCCCAAACCTGAACCTCAGGGATTTCGAAATTCAGTTTCTGCCTTGATGCAGAGGAGTTTGGCTGTCCATCGTCGTTGATGTTTGCTGTGTCGTCGAATTTCGAGCAAGTGAGACAAGGGTGTTGAGAGCTGCATTGTCTCAATGTTATAAAAGTGCTGCATTGTCTTAATGTTATGAAAGTGTTTGTTACGTGTCTCAATCTCAATAATATAAGTCGAAATTTCTACACGAGAAATCCGAATATTATTTTCTTCAATTTACTGATGGAGGTTGTTCCGTTCTGCGGTTTTTTCCCTCGTTGCTTCCTCATGGTCTCTGATCAAGAGCGGATTTATGGGGGGTAATGGGATACTGTTCCCAAACACCAGAACTGCAACACTTTTGTCGACGTCTTTCAGGATTCAATTCCCAGAAATCTTGCTGAAAAACATGAAAACAATAATACTCCTAGTCTCTAATGATATCTATTCTACGAAAGTATTATGATAATACTTTTGAAAAATTGATTCATCCATTTGATGGAAATACTCGTGTCATCTTTTTTGCGATAGCTTGAATATTCAGTTATGGGAAATTGAAATACGTACTATACTAAAGAACTCTGTAATATCTCAACTCACATCTCGAAATACACACGCTAGATGTCCCTTAGTGGATGTCTTTACCTTTGTAACTACCTTTACAAATTTTCTCGAAAATGTATAAAACTGCTTCAAATTATCATAAATATCCGCAATACATTAGCAATTAACTTTTTCGTCTCATCTGCCCTAATAATAAACAATGATTCATCGAAGGGCAGAACTGTCAATAAGCTTGCCAGGCGAAAGAGGATGGCTGTCTCTGAATAGAATATTATTTTCAGTTTTTATTTGTTGTTTGATAATATTGATAATAATTACCACATGGTATTATTGGATATGTTGAAAATTTCATTGTGGAGGTTAACATATTGTAAATAAGGAATGCATATACATTCATTAAGTATCCCTTTNCATCTTTCATGAAAATGTTTCCTTCAACATGTTCATTGTAGGTAAAGTGAAAGTAGAAGTAAATGAAACACAATTATCAGAAGTGATAAATGTATCCTCCATGAAGTCACAAATGCAAAACGTCATAGAACATCTGAAGGATGATTTTATAAAAAACTTGTCTTTACGTTCTACAACAGGTGAGTTATGAGAGGCTGACAAGTCTGATAATTATTAAATTGTTACATTTCACTCCAGGTTCCATTGAATTGTTGCCTGTGAAATTTGAGGAAAAAGAACATACCTTGCAGGAACTTGCTCAAATTGTCAGAAAAAATCCCAAAACTCTTGTAATAAATATGTCAATATTTCCACAAGCTATTCCAGCAGCACTGAAGGCTATAGAAACCTCAGGAATGAATTTGAATCCACAACAGGATGGTACAACAATTTACATACCAATACCCAAGTAAGTAGTCAGTCCAAATTAAGGAACTATTTTATCCAATTTACCACAGTTCATAGAGAAAAGTTCTTGGAAAAGGAAAAATTGCACATATTTGTTTAGAATTCCACACTTTAAATTATATTGAAAGTATCAAGTATCAAATCTTACTCAACTTTTCAACAGACTCAAAATCTGAATTAGAAACGTAAAATTTACCAGCACTAGAAAAATTGGAAAATTCATGAGTACCTAATCCACAAAGTGAATTGATGATTATTTTCTAATAGAGTGGAAGCCCATGCTAACTTTTTTGGGATTCATATGATATCTTTCAAAAATATGATTTTTATAGTACAGAACAGAAATTATATAGTATAGAAATTCTCAGAAAAGTAAAAACGATAACTCAGATGGGGGAAGGTTTATGCCAAAAGTTTTGGTATGTCTTTCATAAATTAAGATATTGGTTACGAATTATTATTCTTTCCTAACCAATCTCCTTACAGAAAAATAAGTAAGGAAAATGGGATAAGTTACCTGTATATACAAAGGTGATACATTCCAGTATGGCTTTTTGGGAAATTAGTTTTTTCTATCAAAACAGGTTATTTATTTGGCTATACCAAATATATTCATGGGTTCATCAGCCGGTAAATGTGACATCAACCTCCTGAGTTAGGGTTCAAAGTCATTCTTGTGGAGTCAATCTTAGATTCACCGTCATATAAACCCACCAATTTGTACTCGTACTTTATGACCAATAAATGATCATTTTTGATTTTCAAAATAATTCTACAAAAGCAATACAGAAACTTGTTACCTATGTAAAGTTATGAAAGCTGTACATAAGTTTTTAGAGATTTTCTATTTCTCCATAAATTTTTGTCCCTTTATAAAATGTTTCCATACAATCTACGAAGTTGAGAGTATTCTGCCATCTTCAATTTTATAGTACCTATCTGTGAAAATTGATTTTGAACAGAAAATAATTCATATTTGTCTGAGAATATATTTAATCTATCAATCTGTAAAAATTGTCGATCAGTATGTATTTGGATATAAAGTCTTTTATTTTCTTTATGCAATTTTTGAATTTTCCCTTATCACTAGTATTTATATCTTATTCAATATCATCATTTTCAAAAACTCATTTTCTATACCACATAATAAGTACAACTAACTACATCGGGACTTTAGCAGAATATTTCAAAATTATGTAGTTGTATAGCTTTCAAAATTATTAAACATGTCTGGTATAATTCATTTTTTTTCAATTCAGTGCAATCAAATGATCTCATGAGTATTAAACCTCATCAGTATTTTTGAGGAGACAGAATGTATGATATTATATAACCAACACAATTTGTATATATGACTTTTGAATGGGCTTCCTCCTTCCCATGTAATAGCCTACGGTTGCACACACACAACTGAGACTTTTTCCTGGAATATGGAAAACTTCATTCAATCCAAAAGTTCTCAATTTATTTGGGATACTTAGTTGAATGATGTTTGCCTGTTTTCTACAGGCAGCAACTTATGAACTGAAGTCAATGCTAAAAGTACCACAGCATTCCAAATATTTGTCACCAACTCAGTGGAAACAGTTAAATATTATCCAGTAGAACTGGCTGATTAACATGTTTCAGAAAAATGTCAATACTTCTTTGGTCAGTCACTGTTAACAAACTGAACAATTCCACCATAAATTTCGTTGATGATGCAATCAAAAAATTATCCAATATGCCTCTTTCAAACATTTTCAAATTATTTAGTTTGGTTCCAAAACTCTATGGAAGGTGGTTGCTGCAATTTAATTTTAATTTTACAAATGTTTTTTCCAGAGTAACAAAGGAACATCGAGAAAATCTTGCAAAAAATGCGAAGCAGTTATTTACAAAATGTAAGGATGGAATTAGAGATGTCCAGATAAAACATGTTAAACAAGTTAAACGAAAAGAAGGCCTTTCACAAGATCTTGCAAGAAGTGTTGAAGCTCAAATCATTGCAATAGCTGATGGTTTTATAAGTGAAGGAGAAAAAATATATGAAGCTAAAAAAGAGGAACTAATTGGAAAGGATTAACTGTTCCTTGCAAAATTGATGAATCAACTATATTAATGCAGCTAGACCATGATTGCAATGAGCTAAGTTCAAATTGATTGGACTGCCAGTATATAAAAATGCATACCTCTTATCAAAACAGAGTGTATCACTGGCATTTATTTTCTCAATTTGTTCATTGTAATATATTCATTCATTATAGAATGTATGTCCTATGAAGTGTATGTAATATTAATTATATCCTCAACTGCCACAATTATGAGCTCAATAACAAACAAGCAAGCAAAGAATAAAATGAAGTAATTTAAATTCATATAAAGATGATTCTTGTGGAATGGTGTATCCTATACTTTTCCCTTGATAATGATAGAGGTAAAACTCAATGCAGTGCAACTATCTTCTTTCCTACAGTGCAGTACTAGTATCTTAATAATGGGAAGAGTTGTCAACAGAAAATAGTATATAATAAATTGGATGCTCTAATATCAACTTGTATATTCCTAAAATACCAAATTCACGTTATGGTGACTTTCAAACAGAATAAATTAACATGGTCGGTCATCCCTTAATCCTTTGTATTTTTGTCGATTTGAACCAAGATGCATTTGGACCCCCACTTCCTTATGTAAAAATATTTTCAAAAACTCTCGACCTACGGCACTCTTGCTAAATCAATGAAGATTTATATGTATACTAGGACTTCTAAATGAAGTACATACATTTATCTACTTCACCCAAAAAAATTTCAAGACAAAAAATCGTTAATCATTTTACTAGTTAGCTTACTTTAACCTATCTAATGATAACAATCCATCTTTCAGTTGATTGAGGATGTAATTAAAAATAAATATGCCAGCAAGCAAGTTTAATAGATTGAAAACAAGACAAAATGAAATGAATGAAAACAAGTGAAAAATATTATAAATATCCTGCCGTGGCTGCCTCATTTAAGACAAGACAGCCACGGCAAAAGCCCTTTATACTTATTGGAAAAAACAAGAAAAATTGATGTTTGAAAAAATACAATTCTGAAATGTTTATTCTGTGGTATCCATTGCTGTTGTTGGCACTGGGTCTCTGGGCCCTTCGTCCCCCGTATCTTCTCTTAGGGGATCGGCTTGCTGAGCCTCAACACCAGCTCCTCCTGCCCCACCACCTCTTCTTTCCTCTCCCTCAATCAGGGCCAAATATGGAGCCGTTTCATTTTCTTCCAATATTTGGAAAGGCTGTCCCTTACCAACATAACCAATCGCAACATTTTTTGTAGTCAAGTCTACCTCTGGGGGCAAGGTATCTCTTAAGGCACGTAAACCGTGTTTGACAAGTTGCTCCAGGGAACAGGAAGGAAGTTCATCTAGGTGTTTTTCGAGGTAAGTTCTCGCACTTTGGGACCTAGCGCCTATTGACATAGCTTTGCAGTCATAAAAGTTGGCTGACGGACATGTTTGATAGATATGAGAACCTGACTCATCATAGCCAGCAACTAGAAGACCAACTCCAAATGGTCTACGGTCATAGCGCTGAGTACAATGCTGCATTTTATTACCTGCAACAAAATTATTTTATAAAAGCTTTCAGTGGAAATAGAGATATGGAAAAACAGTTTTTATCTACAGGCTGCTCAAAGGTACGTGTCCATCATTAAGATGAAATACCCAAATTTTGACATTGCCCCAAAGATTGACACTCTCAACAAAAATCTAGTAAAATAAAATAGTTCACACAAATGTCCACAATACTTTCAAAACATGTCCATAATAACTTTAATGAATAATGTGATCCGAGAATCCAACCTGGCTCCTGTTTCCCACTCACTGTTCTCATCAGTAGCGATATAAATTTAAAAGTACTAATCGTTAGAATTATAATTTATAAGGAAAAAGTTGGTGTTTGTTGGAGAGTTTTGTATTTTGTCAGATATTCGAAGATATTGTCAAATGTTAGGAGAATACAAAAGAATTCCAATCTTTTGGAATTTATCTAGATCACAAACCTGATATTGAAACATACATTGTATGAAAAATATATGCTTGGATAGGTATGAAATGAAATTGAAATAAAACTGAAATCAACAATAACTCCCATTGAATAAATACCAAAAACATTCTTACCTAACGTGCTTATGAGTCTATTCAGAGGCATATGGGCATCTAAAGAATATTTGTAATTCAAACACTCATTCCTCATATAACGACTAAGGATCCTAGCATCTGCAGTGAGTCCTGAAATAGTTATTCCAATATGCTCGTCGATGTTGATGATCTTTTTCTGATAGGCAGAGAGCTCCGAAGAGGCTCTTTTAAGAGCAATGAGCACTGCATGAGTTTTACTTTTCAAACCTACAGTCGCTGAACCTAGATTAACGGCTTCCATTGCATATTCTACCTGATGAAGACGCCCCTGGGGGCTCCAGACGGTCACATCACTATCATATTGATTTCTAAACATTTTTGTAGTTTGAAATGAGACGCCGACAAGACACAAATTGAAAAATTGTTTGTAATGCTAGGCTAAACTACGTCAAATATCAAAAATCAAAGATGTAATGACAATGACACTCAATAATGACACTCGTTTGACAGTCGGATTGACAGTTTGATGACATTTGTTTTGTCTAACAGTCACAAGCAGTTAAAGCTGCTTTTGAAAAACATCAAAGCATGATGGACTTCATTTATGAATGCTAATTTTGAGAAGTATCAAATTGTTATTGAACATAATTTATTTTTTGTTGTGGGATCAGAGTTTTCGTTCACTATTTCTGGGACTATAATACTGCCACCTTCGACCTGTTTGTTAAAGGTTGCCATCCGTACTGTTGTACTGTTGGTTAAAAAAATCTCTTGATGTGAACTTGTTTCGAAAGAAAGTCGTCAAGAAAAGTCTTATCATAGACCAAGTATGTAGGGACAGTATGTTCGTTAGATCATTATTTGTAAGAGATACATGAACTCTGTTTCCATATGTAAAGGTGCATTTGGTAAAAATAAAAACTCAATAATATTCAATGAGATCGATGTTGCAAAATGTCGATGCATACCTCTCAAGGAAGTATTGAAGTGACATTCTGTAATTAGGATTCCCGGTAACACTGAATTTTTTCATTTAACAAAAATTGCCTCAAAATTCTTGTGGTGATACTATTGTTGACGTGTTATTTAAAATTTCGAAGATAATACTAGATGGAAAGTGGAAATCGAAGAAGTTCTCAGAGTAAAATCATGTGATATTATAGAGCATCTGCCAATAACATTTCTCACGAAGTGAGAAAAGGTCTGATGTCTCTAGCGAATCGAGTGGATAATTGTCTGTTCAATATTGCATAGCAAGTCAGGTTTAATTTAACAATCTATTGTTATGAGCTTCCAATATTTACTTAGGAAAAACTGGAAAATTAATTGGGAATATATACACCATATTTAGGTAAAATTATCTCTCGTGTCAACACATAGATATGTATTGTATTTCCGAATATACTTTTCCATTTCTTTGCTAGTTTCGGATCCGATACATCTCGACACATTTTCGGATATATTATAATTATCACACTGATTCACTAAATAATAACTTTTAAATTTCTTTTATATGTCACATGTCACATGTCACAACAAATATTTGCTTGTTTTCGTGACTACGCGGTTCTTTTAGGCGTTGGAATTTCGAATTACGATTCCTAGGTATGATAGCGGCATCTATGAATGGAAAGATAAATTTGTTTGTCCCTCTCTGTTTGTGACTGTTTGCTCCCAACCCAACCTTTTTTATAACCTTTCATCTTTCCACAAAAGATGCCACTAGTAACATTCTTCAAAGAAAATATCAATAATGGTAATTTGAAATTTCAGGTAAATCATGCATTTTTACGAAAGCGCAAAAAGGCCATATATTTTTATTATTCGTGTCCCAGAAATGACGACTTTTGATCTTGAAATTACGACTTTAAATTCAAAATCACGACTTTAAAATCGAAATAACGAATTTAAACTCGAAATTTCGAATTTAATTTTGAAATTTCCAGATTGAAGTCGGAATTGCAATGGACTTGCGAATCAACACCAGACAGCTCTGATCTCATCAGTGGTACTCGGCTGAACCACAGAATAGTAATCAATGCCGAACCTCTGAACTGTACTGAAACATTGATAATAAAAATCAGAAATCACTGGGTTTGAAAATCACTTCATAATTCTTTGTGAGTATTATCAATTGACCTGGCATGAGTGTGAATGCTCAATATTTTTTATGGTAAAATTCAGCTATCATATGGTTATAGGATTTTTCATCAGCTCATCAAAACAACCAAAATGATACTGGAAGCGAACACTGTGATTATAGAAATATGAATCTATTCGTGCATATTATGAAGAATATCAATTTTCATTTCAGAGTAGTTTTTGGCAAGTTATTCAGAAGTTAAAATATAAGTGTTATTCAAAATTTACAATTGTATTTCAACTCTTGGATAGCTCGCTAAAATTGAGTTGAAGAAGAAAATAGGGAATAATTAATTTGAAAAATAAATACGCTATATTTTTTCGATCATTACAAAACATACGTATAAAAAACATGTTCAATTAATTTCCTGGGTTGAACCCTGAGGAGTAGAAAAATTTCGACCTCAGTGCACTGGTATTTTCATGAAAATTGCATCATAGTCGAAGCCGAAACGTCGAACTACCAAAAGCTACCAAAAACACAAGACGCGGTTCAATCCAGACTTTAAATTATCCCGAACACACACATGTGACTAAATGAGCCAAAAAAGATAGCCTTTTGCATTTATCCTGCTGAGAATTCCGCCTTAGTGCGGCAAACCGATGAAGTATCATTATTGTTGTGATAGAGTGAGTACCTAAGTAGGAAGTCTCAATTGTGTTGACATAGGATATATAAATATCAGAGCAAGAATGAACTTTCATTTCTTAATTCACTACGGAAAAAGATACTATGTTAGTGAAACATGTGATATATATTTCATAAATGAAGTTTCTGGAGCTCAAATCGTAAAGTGTAGTTTATGAAATTACTATGGATCTTCATCAAGTAACAGCTGAATCAATCAGGTTGAAAAAATTGGACTGTATTTTAAAGAAATTGATGCCCATACCAGGCTTACAATAATTAATCATTCATTTCAGTACCAGAACCACCCGTCAAAGACGGTTTTTCTATATGCAAAATCATCGAACCAACTATATGAAAAAACTGCTTTCACAAGATTACAAAGGAACTATTTTGAAAACTTCTCGTCCCTTGATATCACACATTTGACTTCTACCCAGTACAAACAGCAAGCAATTCGGAAGGTCAATTACTTTCAATACTCTTGAGTTGCCCCAGTTGCTAGTTTTAATTTGTCACACATTTGTTTTGTTTTTCTTTGTCCTTGTGTTTTTCCTCTTTTTTATATTCTCTATTTTTTATTGATATTGATTATATGCCATTTTGAATTGTATATGTTTCTGTAGGTTTACTTTGAATCTTCTTTCGGACGATATTCGTCTCGCCAGGAGGTGAAAACCCCACGACAAATATCGCCTCGCTCTGGTGGTCGAGAAGACTACATCGGGTTTATTAGCTTGTATGAGCCTGAGGGTGGGGAACGAATAGTTCCAATAAATTCGGCACTTATCATTTCCCACAACGGATTTATTATACCTTGAGCAATACTGGTGTCTTGATAATACAATAAAAGTGCCGTAAATAATAATAGAACACTCCTAGAACCGCGTTATGTCGATGGATATAAGTTGGTAGATATAGGATGAATATAGGCCACAAATGTTTTTGCCATGTTCAGCAATAGGTTGGAGTAGACCAACACCCTTAAACACCCTATTCTGCCGTAAGTAATGGGTATACTCTAGGGGTTGCTGGTAGCAGGTGCAAGATCTGCCGTGAGGCACCTTAAACTCTCATAGAGTCGCTGTCGGTATGACCAGCATATGCGGTCTCGGCAACAGAAAGCGACTTACTTTATTACCACCTCTAGCTCTTTTACAGTATGGATGAGACACTGGTGTTGCTCTACGCAATTCATTGTGGGGAAAAAAGAAGTGCCAAATTTATTGGAGCTGTCCATTCCTCACCGTCTGGCTGGTGGAGTTTTCAGCTTCGGGTATGACGGAAAGAGGGGAAAAAAGATAAAGTAGCGAGATTTTCTCTTCAAACTTCGCATACCCTCTCCAGATCACTCTGTCGAGATGGTTGTTCCGATTATTTGAGTCCTTGATGGAATAATGACCTCTAATCTGCAATCTCAAGATCACGTCATGTATTGGCCGGACAAATGCAGAAGGTTGTCATTCTTGGCGTATTGCTTCGCTTTGGGACATATAGTTTTTTGTTCCAATGATTACTTACCCAACGGTGTGGGGAGTAGTAATTAGGTGATAATGTTGGGGCTTCGAGGACAGGGCTCGACCAGCTTAAACTTCGCAGACTGTCACCGTGTTGAAACCAGTTTAGGGAAAAGCTGACATCAAAGCCACAGAGATCACTTTACTTCTGCGGTTATATGCATGATGCATGAAGTCATCCGCAACAACATTGAAGACGTTGGTATATCAAAACACCTGACTTTTGCTTTGGTCAGGTTGATTGGGCTGAATTCAAAAACCGAAGCGGGGAAAACGGATGAAACATCGATATTTTCTCTTGAAACTCCTCAGACTTCATCCAGATATTTCTGTCGAAGTAGTTTTTATGATAATTGGAGTCCTTGGTGAAATGATGCTCACCCGACTCCCAATTCTCAAGATCATGCCGGTTTGCCGTACTAAGACAGAAATCCCAGCCAGACAAATGCAGAAGGCTGTCAATATGATTCAAAAACGTTAATTCAAGTTTGAGTCAACATACATTCAGTTTGAGATAGTGTTTTGAGGGGGGCCCTGCTATAAGCTTATGCCTCTTCAGGGTTAGAAGACTGTAATGAGGAATGTTTCTCAATTTGGGTTATTACAGCAAATGCAAGTTTGAACAAAATAAAGTTGAGTTCAATTCATGAGTTTTTCAAATTCACTTCGAAAAGTATTCAAATTGATGTTTCAAATGTTGGGTTTTAATTTTCAAAGGGATTTGTTTCTAATTCACATATTGGCAACAGCGCCTATATCGAGTTGAGGCAAAATTTAAATTATAGTTCATTACCACCTCCCCATTCCCCATAAACAGTTGTTCTGTTATTTATTTATATAGAGGAAGATAGGTTAGGTGCACAAAATGTCATATGTCGCAGAATGTCTCGAAACTCGGAACATAAGTAAATAGAACAGCACGCTTCTGAAATATGTCGTCTTTGTTTGTCTCGTACAGGTAACAGATTCATTGTCCTTTATTAGCTATAACCGATGTTGCCAAATGGTGAAATAGAAACGAATCCGTTTAAATGTTGAAAGCATTATTTCATTCCTCTTTTTTGAGTATTTAAATAATTTTTTAAGGAAAAAGGTTGAAATGAAAGTTAAAATGCGTTGTTTTAGAGCTCTTTTATGAAAACTACTTTATTTTCGTCAGGAGGAACATTCCCCATT